TGAGTGAGCCATGGTTGACTAAGCTACTCTTCTGCTCACTTATTCATTTATTTGTTTGTAATGACTGTCATCTGATTTGTGCCGGCTCTTTCTGGCCATCTGGCCACCCCCTTGTGATTCGGTTCCTGATGACACTGTCAGGAAAGCCTGATGGATTTCAAATGCTTTATACAGAGAAGTTAGTGGGCAGGTTTAGTTTTGAATCCACGGGGCCTACAATGACATTTTGAGCAGGTGGGGATGGTTTTAGAAGAGTAAGAAACAGTCAAGTTCAAATTAGCAAAGCGAAAAGGTTTGTTGTTTTGCTGCCAATGATCACTCCAGGGTGTTGGGACTAAAGAAAAATGATGAGGTAGTAGCAAGAATCCTTTGTGTGTCTACATTAGTGGTTTAGGTAGGTTCTCAATGTTGGACTAAGGATCTGGCTTTTGAAATGACTGTCATAGTTGTCCATGCATCATTTTCTGTGATCTACACATGAGGATAGTCCTAAAGTTTTGAGCTTTATTTTTAGAAAGATAAAACTAAGCTGGAAGATGTTGATGTGCTTCAACCACTGATTCAGTTTATGGGACAGGCCATGAGGGTTCTGCAGTAAAGCCCCCAAATCACATGCAGTGTGGTTGCTGGCTTTTAACGCAAACTGTATCCCTCCTAACAACCAATCCCTATCGCACCGTGCTGCTTGCTGATGTAGACTTATGAGTGGGGAGAACTTTCCAGCTCTGCTATTGGCATCATAGGTCACATCACCTCTTTCTCATCTAGCCTACCCCTCTGTGAAATGAGCCTTTCCAAAAGACACCATCCCTCTCCAGCTTAGTGGAAGAATAACATAATAGCAGAATTAGGCTATCAGATCACAGACAGGACCATGTGCTCTAGTCTGGAAGGCTCTGAGTTGCTCTGGGGAGCTTGGATGTGTTTGTTTTTTTTGACACATCCCTAGTTTCACTTCATAAAAAATGGACAAAGTGCTTGTTAGTGCCACTTCTTCCTCCAGCCATCACTGCTTTTGATTAACCCTTCTGACCCTTTTGAGGTCACAAATGTGATTTGAAGGGGCTCATCGTGGCCTCGCTACATGTGATATCAACTTCTAAACCCATTTTCAGGCTCAGAAGCCTCACTGAGGCATCAGCCATCAGTTTGCCCAGCTGACTGTAGTTGATCATTACCCCGCTATGGACCCAAAGGTGGCTGGGGAGGTCCAGATAATGCTGACAAGCATTGGTCAAATGATAGAAGGGATCTTTTAACTTCTTTCATCTATCATACCTGTGGGCTCCTCACCAGGGTGCCCGTAAGGCTAACCATGACCAGGGTGGGAGCTCAGAGTAGGCCACAGCCTGTATCTTTAAAGATTAATAGTGTTGTTTGCTCATTAAGGAGATCATTTTGAAGCAAGCACTAGCCAGAACATTTGAGTGCAAGCATCTGTTTGCTACTGGGAAAGGATATTTATTGTCTGATACTTCAATGGATGTAAATAAACAGCCAGACCTAGATAATGTTCAGGCAAACAAACAAGCAGCTGCCAGAATAGGTCCCTTGGTAGTTGACCTTCGGGAAGCATCATGCTGATGTTTTAATAGCAGCCAGCTTTGCAGAACAAAGCCCAGTGACTACAGCCATCCGGGAAGCAGGATTCATGTTATTAAGGAAAGGTCTTCAGCAGTGGCCATGCTGGTCTGAGAGAGGTGGTCTGGGCTCCTGGATGCTTTGCACATGTGTCCTGGCTGTGGGACCACGAGGTTTATCAGGGTGTTGGGTAGAAAGGCAGCATGTGCTGGTCCTGGGCATGTGTGTGATGATAGCAGACCCCACGGGAGTCACACAACATGTTGAAAGGTGGATGAGCTGAGGTGGGCAGTATTCTGAGTTTGCCATGGACCCAAGAGCATTCATCGGTCTACAAGATGTCTAGGCACTTGGAATAGGTACCTCTGTGGTCATGTGTAGATCTTTGGGTCTTTGTGGGGATGACTGCACCCATCTATTAATGGTGGCTGTGATAGGTTGGGATTTTGGACACCTGTGTGATATCCTGAAGGCACCTCAGCCCCTTCCTGTCCTCTCTACCTGCTCCCATACTGCACGGGTGGCAGATTCCAGGAGGAATCCCTGCTGGACCTTCAGTCTGCCTCTAACCCCACAGCCAAACAACAGCATCCAAATATAAGAATAACTGTGTTTTGGTCAGAGGAAAACATCATTTAGTTCACTATCTCCTAGCCCCACAGGTAGCCGATGCTAAAGGAGTGCAAATGCAGCTCAAACTGCTGGTGTGTGCTTCATGTTGCCAGCAATCGACAGCCTGGGGAGCTTTCTGATCTTGTCTCTGATTTCAGTGATGATCACTTTCACACTTGAATCTTCTCATTTCCCCTTCATGAGCTGTTTTATTTATTTATTTATCTATTTACTTTTTTATTTTTTGCAAACCCAAATGATCAAGTTCACCTGGGTGCCAGAATAAAACTAGCTCCAAGAGAAAGTGCTGCTGTGCTTCTTGGTGTTCAGAACTGAGACCGATGTGCAGGAAAGGTGGAGGTCCTGTGGGCTCCCTGTCTGGAGCAAAACACAGGAAGGCCAGAGTTTAAAGCAGGATATGGAATGGACTCAGTTAAGGTCCAAGTGTCTGGCTGCACGTTATGGTGAGAAGCGACAAATTCTTTGCATATGCTGGCCTGGCATGGTATATGCAGTGCATGCCGCAGTGGATGAACAACTGCCAGACTTTCTGTCTTTTTTTCTGAATTTTCTATTCTAAACTCCTTCAAGAAAGAGGTTTCTGCCCTTGCGGTTGTATGTGTGTGTGTGCCGGAGTGCATGTGTGTGCACTTGCACATATGCAATGGAATAAGCACTGCTCCTGCCTCCCTCCTTCTCTGCAAAATAATGACTTTGCGGGCAATTAGGTTAGCAATAGCTGTTAAATCACTTGCAAGTATGTCCGTTTTACCAGTGTGAAACCTCTGCAATCTTTTACCTGCACAAAACACATAGGGGAGATCCCTGGGGGTTGTGCCTCCTGCCTGCATGGTTTGCTAACCTCAGCCAGCTATTTCTGCAGCCTGCCTCTTCCATCTTTGAGCTCCTGCTCTAATGGGGTCTGGCAAAAGCTGAGGAGAGTGCCTGAGCCTGGGGTGATAATTGGCTGCTTACTTATCTAGAGGCCTGTAGATCTGACCCTGATGATGTCGAAAAATCAAGGTCAAAGCAACTAAGACACAAGGTTTGTTTAGCAGAGTGATCAAAAGAGAGAGCAGGGATAAGCAAGAGACTGGCAAAGGAGACAAAGCTCCAACAGCAGACCAGGATCAGCAATTGTTCCCTAACAGCAAGAATTCAGTGCAGAAAATTCCCCATGGGGAAATATGGAAGGTTCCAACCTGGGTGCCTAATTGCGATATCCTGTCAACCTAATTTGAGATGTCCTGGCAAAGCCCCAGCCAGGGTCATGTTTTTATCTTCTTCCTTTCTCCTGATTCTCCTAAGGCAAAGGCCTCATTCTGAGCCCATCACTCTCTCTGTCCTTGTCCTCCTGAGTGAGTTACCACTTTAAGCAGAGAGACTGCCATGAGCTAAAGGGATCTGCACAGTCGAGCCTTTTCCCCCTAGGCAGTCAGAGTGGACAAGAGGAATGGATGTATTTAGCAGGGAATGAGCAGTAGTGGAGCTCTGGTGGACATTTCTGAGTATGCTGCTGTCGTCAGCAGATGAGAAACTAACGACCGTGGTCATTCTCTCTTGTTTGCATCTCTTGCTTTCCCTTTGACATTCTAAAAGAGAGGTTGATTCAATATGAGTTTCTAGGCTGAGCGGTTGATACAGAAGGAATAAATTAATGGACTAAACGACAGGAAAGAGCGGGAATGAATCTTGGTGCCATTATTTCTCCATGTCTTGTTGTTTCCTTTGGGTGGGAAGGATGCTTTTGTCTCATCTATGAAACTATGCGAGTGCAAGGCAGGAACTGGAAGTCTTTGGTCTACTTCATTTGGGAAAATATGGAGACCATGAATATGGAGCACAAGCACTAAAATTTAGTTTCTTCTTCTAGGGAAGGGCACTAAAGTGTTCAGTTGCTGCAGGATAGAAGATTCTCTCAAGGGAGATAAGCATCGTGTTTACCTCTGTGGAAGACATAGCCATGTAGTTTGCTGAAGTACAGAGCCCTCCTAGTAGGACCAACAGAAGGGCCCAACATTCCCATCTATTCCCAACATAGATTATCCTGAATTGTGATTAAACTACTGGAAGGGATTTTATACCTCCTGCCTCTGAGTTTTACCCCAATTTCTAGAAATTGGGTTTAGACAAGCAAAGAAACCTGTGGAGTTTTATGCATCTTCTTCTGAGCACTGTGTCACTGTCAGGAAAGTGACTGGGACTAAGTGCTGGTTCATTCACATAGTTCTTTTACTGACACTCGTGGGTGACAGCTTGTTATGAGAAGTGGCTGAAATTATATCGTATCATATTTGTTCAAGACTGATTTCAATATCAGATATATGTAATCACCAGGAGAAATATGTTTTGTGGTATAGTACCCTCTACACTAACACATTATCCCATGGTATATTAGCAGTAAAAATAATAACAGTGACCAGCATTTGAGTGAGTCAGTCCTGCAAACCCCTGTGTGCCTTTTTCCTCATTTGCTCATCATTGTCTCAATTCTGCCCTTTGGGCCATCATAGTCATTCAGCTCAGTAGATTTGTCCAGACAACACTAGCAATACTGCAGTAGGGCTAAAGAAAAGTGAGCAGACTCTGAATCATTCTTCTACGATTACCTTGAGATGATGAGACTAGCAGAAGTCATTAACCTGCTTTAGCCTTTAAGCAAGGAGGCAGGGAGCAAATTTAGTTTATGATGACAGTGGTTGATGTCCAAAAGACATGGACCACAATGTATTTCTTCTGTGATTATTCTACACTCTCTGTGGACAAAATAAAAATGCTCACCATCTTTTCCTGCTTTTGTTTTGCAGATTCGCGTGGATGGCCCCACTAAGAACACACTGGAGTACGAGATTGTGCAGGTGGTTGATTCTGGCCCCATATTGCGAGATATGGCCTTTTCAGTGGACCATGAACATCTGTACATCATGTCTGAGAAGCAGGTAAGACACTCCACCAATCTGTCATGCTTTGAGAACTTTTAGCTTGATCGTAATATGGGCATCAGTATAGCATCTGATGTTCCAAGAGAGAATGCAGCAAACTACTACCACAAGATTATGCTTGGCTGATCCATCTCATGGATTTTTGTGTTTAGATGCCATTAAGTTTATACTCCGATGCAGATTACAGAGGAGCCAGAGCAGAGAACTAAGAGGGTAGAAACCACCTCCAGTATTGCCTTATGCAGTACATGTACTGCTGGCTATGTGACAGGGAACTGCTGCTGCATATGCTGCAAACCACATTGCTCTCCACCCCCATCCAAACTGTGACTGCATCTGCCACAGATATGGATAGAGTGGGTAAGATGAATCATTTGACTCCAACTGGAGTATTTGGAGAAGCTTAAAGCTCTCAGACTCAGTGATCTAGACTGTGGGACACTGCTTGCTAGGGTAGAGGCTACGTATGGGCTGAAATTCCTGTTGTGTTATTGATTGTTGAAAATATTAGCAGCCAGATCTCAGGGGAGGACCAACCTGGGTGTTCCACATGAAAGTGTGGCTGACATTCAGCCAAGTTCTTGGGCTTACAAACTTTACTGATTTGTGTGGGAGGAGAAGGTGGAAGCTTTGCATAAAGAAATCCATTAGTTTGTGGACGTACAGGGACTTGAAGCATTGAAACTGATTGATTCACATGTGCTGTGAAGAGCTTTAGGATCCTCAGATAAAAGGGATGAATGAAGGGCTGTGGTAGAGTGTTGGCAGGTTCAGCTAGAAGCTGCCAGTTCAGGCTTGAAACAGTCATCCCATACGTATAGGCTCAATGACTCATTGAGAAAATACCACCTACCAGCCCTTGGATCGTGTAAATAGCACCAAACATAAAACACCCACTTGTTTTCCCATTGCCTTGATGACCTGCCTGGAGAATCTGCCTTGCTTGGGCAGACTTATTTCAGTAGCACTTTCTGGAAAGAGGGACATCCTCCCGGCATTGCCCTAGCACCAAACTCTCACCTACGCTTCATCGCTTTGCTCCCACCATCTGCCAACCTTGTGCTGTGGTGGCTGACAGCAGTCTCCAGTATGGACAGGGCCCGCTCTGTTCCCTCCCTTCTCCCATCTTGATGACAGCTTTATCATCCTGGGTCATGAAAGACCTAAACACCCTGCCTCTCCTAGGGACCATTAGAGGATGTCTAGGGACAGAAGTTAAGAAAATGTAGGATGTTGCTGTCCCAGACTCTCTTTTTGCTCTCACGCTTTAGGGATTTACTGAGCCATAGATTGCACCTAATGATCTTCCGTTCCAGAAAAGTATCCATTTTTTTTTATCCCCCTTTTGGCTTATTTTGGACTTTTCCACCATTTAGTGACCTATACAGTTAAACTAACCACTGTGAGAAAAAGCACTACATTTTTTGAAGCCTGATGGCTGACTGTATCATATGATGCTCACTAATTCTTGTCTTATACAAAACAATGGTGAATAATCACTCCCTCTTCACCTGCCATGAAGAGCTTCTTCACTACCCCCTCACATCCTCTTCAGATGGCTCTTCTCTAGGCTGTGACTCACGCTGAAATTGTTAGTCTTTACTTTAGCTAGGAGGACTTTCTCCAGGTCCAAAAGGCAAGAATATGAATGTTCTTTGGGTGGTTATTAGGGTTACTGCAGTCTTCCCAAGTCCTACCCAAGGGACAAGAACTCAGATACAACTGACTGACTTATGTTCTGCCTCCTGCAAAGTGATGGGGGAGTTATAGTTTCCAGGCTATTTGTGACTGTCATTCCTTTTTCTCAAATCAGCTTATTTATTTAAAATGTTTTCTGTTTCTATGTGGTCTTCTGTGTTCCTTGTCCTCTTCCTGATCGATGAATACTTATTCATAGGAGGATATTTATCTCTTTTGGATTGGCTAGACTTTGAACACACACACAGGAGGTCTCTTGATTCTCTCTAAAACATTAGTTTTAGAATGTGTCCTACTCTGTCACACTGCTCATTCAATTCTTGCCTCTCAGTCTCTGAAATATTAAACTTGGAATAAAAGTAGCAATTTATTTCCTCTGCCCAGGAATTTCCAGGAACATGTTTTTCCTGATATTTTGACTACTTGCATTTTCCTGATTGTTATGTGAGCAGATTCATTTTGCAATTGGCTGTTCTAAAGCACAAGGTGAGGTAGCTTTCTTAAGGCCACGAATTGTTGGAGGTGTTAGTTAGGGAACCCAAGACTCCTGAGGTCCTATGATGTATTAGAGCCTCTCCCGCCATCCATGAAACCCAAAGGTGTTTGAGCAAGGCTAGTGAAAAAGGGCATGAGTTGTTCATATTTTAAATCTGATCTGATATTGTGAAACATACAACCTGACAAGAGCCTTTGCCCGTCCCTGATTTTATCTGCAGAGCAGCGAGCTGTGCAAAGGACAGCGCTGCTTTCGTGGCAATAAGGTCGCTATCTGTGTGCTCATGATACAGCGCACGTCAAGCGCGTGTTGAATTAGCATCATCGTTGGGTCTTCATTGGGTAGAGGAGGGGTGGCTGAGTGCAGGCACAGGCATTTGCCTTCATAATAAATAAAAATAATGGTGCCTCCTGCAAGCATCACAAGGGGAGATGGAGGATATGGAGGTGATGGATCCCCATGACATTTCCAAAGGCATCCAGGGAAATTAGAGCTGCTCCTAGTTGTTGGTGAAAGAGGTTCCTCCTCCTTCAAGTTTTCAAGATAAAACCAGGGACTTTTTTTCATGGGCTCTGCAATGATCCTCGTCCCCATGGAGGCTCCAAGGGGAAAGGGGATGGTAAAGGTGCTTTTGTGCGGCGTCTCTGGACACTGAAACATGACAAGCAGTACTTGTCAGCTCTATCTGACATGCTGTGCACTTACTTAGGAACAGGATGCAGCAGCCTTTCATGAGCAGAAGGGCTCCATTATATATAAATATATATTTTACGTGGAGATTGATTGAAAGAGGCAGAGGGAAAGATTTGTCACCGAGACCCAGAGACACAGTACACAAAGGCTCCATTATTTCACCAAGGTGCAGGCATATAATAAAGCAGCGAGAACACATGTTTCAAGTCCCTGTTGACAGAGCATGGAAGGATTGGTGCTTGTTGTAGATCTGTCAGGATTCATCAGGAAATCTGCTATTTAGTCCCAAATTTCACAAAGGGCATAAACGGAGTTATGAGCAGGACGGACACCTCCCTCCAAGCAGGAGGTCTCATGCAGTGTTGGCTGCTCCAGGCTGTCATTGCAACACTTACCTGTCCTTACGTCTCCTCCTCCTTGACATCCTCAGTTTGGCAGGTTTTTTTTTTTTTTTTTTTTCAATCAGCAATTTCAGTGCATTGAGATATTTTCCCTGCAATCATGGGGATATTGGCACTTTGGAGGCTTGGACTTTTGGGCCTTTCTGGTGCATGGAGGACCTCTGTTTTGCACATAGATCCAAGGGAATGGGAAGCAGATGGGAGATCCTGCTGGAGGACCAGTTCAGCTGGGGAAGGATATTTGCAGGTTATCTCCTCTGCTGCTCAGCACACGTGCATGTGCTTCCTGCCAACCCTCCCCTTCCTCAGACCCTCTTTTTGACTCTTCCTCTTCCCAAATGAGAGCCCTAAGCCTACAAGTTCCCTAGAGGTCTCTCAAGGGATTAAGCTGAAACACCTCTTTTCGACCCCTTTTCACTATTCCAGCCTCTCTCTCAAATCCCATCTCTCTTTGCTGCCCTGTTCTTTCATTTGCAGTTTTTCAGCTTGTTTTCCTCTACTTCTGGCATCCCCTTGCCTTTTCTCTCTCTTCCTTCTATCTGCCTCTATGCTGTTGACTGACCATGTCCCCTTGCCTCTTTGAGGCTTTGATGTTAAAGGGCACATATAGCCCACCTATGGATGTCAGGATGTGTGTGATACTCATTTGTATGGCGTAGCTTTGAACTAGTATTTGGAAAACCAACTAGATCTCCCCCTAAATAATTCTGCTATTGCCTGTCAGAATCCTGGGCATCTCACAGTGCTGGGTGTGTATTTTGCAAAGCTGACACAGCACCTGGAAGCAACTCCAAGACACGAGAACCTCTCCTTTGATATAGCAGGATCAAAGGGAAGAGCTAGAAGAAGTGAATTTGAAGGCTCAAAAACCAGAAGGCAAACAGCAAGAGCCCCCAATTTATTATTATTAAAATTCCAAGGCTTTTGAGCTGCCTCCTGGTTTTGGTTTACTAGCGGGTAGGGAAGACTCTGTTCTGCAAATATTTTATGAACGACTCCAAGTTTGACTCAAGGAAGGAGATTTGTCATCCCCGCTCCACAAGCGTGTTTGTATTGTGCAAGTTAGCCAGCTTCACACTCTTGCAGAAAATTGCGCCTCTTCCCTGTAAACTTGCAGAATGACATCCATGATCCGAGAATAACTCACATCTGAATAATGCTATCACTACCTAAACTATTTGCAGTATTTCAAAGGTGAGCCTGGTAGGGTTATGTGTAGCAGAAGCAGATGGGTGTTTTGGGGGCTCTTTTAAACTCTGCCAATGAAATATCAAATAAATATGCACTTAAACTAAAGTGTGTCAGAAACTACATTTGGTAAAAATTAAGTAACAGCATCACAAATCATGTTGGCAGAGTCTTTTTGGCCATTCTGAGTCTGTTTCTCATTAAAATGGGAAAGGTTTATACCTATTTGTCTCCTGAGATTTATTCTTCTTCCTTTTGCCGCAGTCACTATCTGCAACAGAATTATCTTCTGCAAATTAGCTGAAAAGGAAGAAGTTTCGACTAGTTAGTTTACTTCTGAGTTCATGACCATTGATTAAAATCTTGTCTACTGCGTATGCAATCATATCAATTAGTTAAAGCATTCATTAATAACTTTACTTAATCGCATCTTAATTTATTCAAATACGGTCTTTGCACAAGATTTCAATTAACATGTAGTCTTGGGTTTGGAGTGTCTGTTTCCAGGGGATTGTTAGTCT